ATCTTCCCAGGTTTCAATGGGCAATCCCACTCATCGAATGTCCCTATGCGCTTTTAGTTCTTCCTAGAAAAGCGTTGATAACTTACGAGTTGTGGATTGTTGCAGGACTACACCAAGCCTTATCAACATATCAATACAAAAATACAACACATGCCAATGTCCAATTTCAAGTCTTATAACAAAGCCAGCCCCTTCTATATCTGATAGTTCTTTGGGCAATTTACAACCACATGCAATACCTGCGAAATACCATAGAGGTGCAACCTTATTCGTGGATGTTTAGATCTAAAACTACCAATAAATCTTTGAGAAAATAAAATTTACTTCCAATTTTCTCTTAATGCGTAATGGCTGTCTTGGCCATTGTTTCGCGAACACGTTTTTTTTTGTAGAAAATACATTTTTCAGCATACCATGTAGTGAGTGTCACCTACCTCACTTATTCGGTCGTTGACACTATTTGAACATTGAGGACGTGATGACACAGGCGTAAGGCTACACATCTGCCGTTAAAATGACATCGTCTGAAAATTCAAGACAAGCTCGTTTGGTGAAGAATCTTTTTGATCTTTTTGAACGTTAATCCTTTGACTCATCGCCTCTGGACAAATGTTCCGACACCTCGGTTTTTGGGGTAAATGCTCGAAAAGACGTTGTAGTTATCATTGTGTTACATTTCCAATTGTATTTCTGGAATTTTTACATTTGAAATAAAAAGAGTTTTCAAAATTGAATGCCTTCTGCCCGGAACAAGTTGCATAATGGTTAATTTCGTATTGAGATTATGTTTTGGGATGATCATATTTTATTTTCTCGAGGAAAGGTTGTTTTATTTTATTATCATGTTTTTTTTTTATTTCTGTGACTCGCAATTCTTACTATCGGAATTATTCAAATAACCAGGGGGCTTACAGGGAGAGGGACAGAGGGGGCAACGGCCCGGGCATCAATTTCCGGTGGGCATCCAATCGAAGAGTTTTGGGTTGTTTGTATTTTTTTTAATTTGAATGAAATTATCGCTATTAACTCTGTGGTAATTTGAAAACAAACTTTATTTAATCTGTTTTTACATATTTAAAATATCTTCCCCTCTTATATTACTAGTAGAGCGGGAGCCCAGTGGGGTCAACCTAGCTAAAAGGTGTACCAATTTTCTCTTATGGAATCAATGCATGTATATCTGGTGTCATCAGAATGTAAGTCTGTCGGGTTTCTGGTGTTGGGTGTGGTATTCCACGCCCAAAATGCCATCCCCCCCCCCCCCCAATCTAGGCTAGATTAGCTCAAAAGTGTACCACATGAAAATCGTACAGCAGTGTATGTACATCCTCAGGTATTACAAAGAATACTGACAGACATTTATAGTGGTGGGGTACCCCTGACAGAGCTATGTAATTGCCAGACATTTGTATAGTGGTGGGGTATCCCTGACAAGAGTTGTGTAATTTCCAGACCACAGCTAGGCTAGATTGGTTGAAGTCTGTACAACCTAAAACAGCTTTGGAATCATGAATGACCACTGCCAAACAGTTTGTGTGGTGGGTTACCCCTAACAGACACGCCCAAAATGCCCCAACTAGGATAGATTTGCGGGCACTGTTCCCGTGGTCTAAAAAATTAAAACATTGTGCCAGGATGCGTAGAATACTAATACCTAGCACGTATGGGAGGGGCGATAAACTACGGTTTTGCAGAAACAATTTTTTTTTTTCAAAACCGCATTTTTAGCCCTATAAAACGTTTTTTGCCGAGAAATCAATTTCTTGCAACCGCAGTTTATCACCTCTTCCATACGTGCTAAGTATTAGTATTCTGTGCATCCTGGCAAAAAAATATTTTTTTAGACCACAGTAACAGTGCCCGCTAATGTAGTCTAGTTGGGGCGTAGCCATCGGGCTTAATTTTGTAAAGTCGTCACTTATTTTCACATGTTCAGCGATTTTTGTTTATCTGTGGTTGGTTTTATAAAAAGACAAACTTATAGAAGATAAAAATAAACATTCTGCTTTTGATATCTGATGTGGAATTTATAATGTTAACACCTCAATTTTTTCAAAGTTTCTTTTCTCGTATAACTCTTAGAGTATTTTAAAGGCGTAGCCTCCAAAACACGTTTATGATATTCTTTACAAGTTGAATACTTAATAACTACTAATTTTGTCATAAAAATTGTATGTTTGAAGAAACTACTGTAGAAAGTATCGGGAAGAGTTTTCTTTTATCAAGAATGCATCTCTGAAGAAGGTGTGCGGTATATTGAATGAATAGGTGACGTAAAGATTGGAGTTTCTTCTCCAGACAGTAATGTTTACGCCCACTCATCTGCACGTCATCTTCTCGAGACAAGGGTTAAAGTTGACAGACTACCTCTTTTATTCAGTTTTTAGTTTTGGACTTTTAATCTCCGTATCGAGAAATTACATTTTATTACACTTTTTAAAGTACTAATGTGTACTGCATTTACCATCTAAATCGCTATTTGGATTGAAGCATTTTAATGGCCAGTCAATCCAGGGTCGGACTGGGTAAAACTCGATTGATTCCCCTTTTCCGCACCAACAAACAGATCATTAGTCTCCTCGGAGATAGGCAAGCGAAGATTAATATCATTTATTTTTCAAAAAAATGTATATATCTATGTCAATTTTTTTCGAATCGCCCCTCAGCCAATTATGATTTAAAAACCAAAGTTTTTATAGGGCACGTTCATTGTGATTGATCGCTTGGATTTTAAAAAAAGATTTCTATATTGTCTAATAAATTGCTCAAATTTCTCTGAAATCCACTTAATGCCTTTTTATCTTTTAAGCAGTACTTATATACGAATGGCAAGTCGAAAACCTGTCAGAAAATTTTGTACTAGTCCCGGTCTAGTTCTAGCTATAGCAAAGTGATTAATATTAAGACAGGCCATCAACTATTATACAATTTACACGTAACACTAATTATTATATGACAACCAGGTGTTTAGAAACATCACCAGACCATGTATACAAAATACTTAAGTAATTAATAATAATACAAAAAATTAATGTGGGAATTGCGTAAAGTTGTTGGTATTGGGGTTGAAAGAAGGAGGTTTCGTAGTTTTTATAATAACCCCAAGGGTTCAAACTTTCTAAAATTATACTATACCTTTCCTACATTTAAGTTTTCGGTACGATTTCATTATACCCGGGGTGAGTGTCATGTACCGTGCAGGATATGCTAAAATACAATATGCTGCATAGTAACAGGTGTTGTGTGCAATAAATTGTATGCTTTTACTCTTTCTACAACACTTGGTCGAAATTTTCAGTAAATTGGGAAACGACCCTATTTTTCATTTTCAATTGCTTCGGCAAACTGCCAGTGATAACGGGTGTAGTGCACGAATGTATAGTAGCATGCTTTCTATAATACATGACATCGTGTATCTGTTACTTGGAAGTTTACTATTGTACTTTCGCAATTCTGAATTTGAAATTCAAACTATCGCCCCATTACTCCGTGGCGATTATACAAAATGAAATGCCTTTTAGCCACCATATTTTGTGTTATGAGAGCAGAAGTAAGGCCTATTCTTATTTCGAATACAACTGTTAAGGATTAGTTTACAAGCATGGCAATATGTACACGAGACCTGGGTTTATCGTCCCATCCGAACGATTAGACATTATTCCTTGACCGGCCTCCGTCCTGCACCACTGGCAAGAAGGTAATCTCGAGATACTTCTCCGTGGCCCAACACCGGATCGAACCCAGAACCTGCTTGTTAGCGAGCCAGCGTCCTACCCTCTACGCTGCCTGACTAAGACATGCTTACTCCATCTGCAACATCTGAAAACCCTTCTCTTTGGTGTGTATATTTAACAATTCCTGTTGCATTTCAGCCAATATCACAGGATGATAAGACGTCAGAGACCGCAAATTATAACGGGTAGTATTGATCGACGTTTTCCTCATTAACTTTGGTCTTATCAAAAGTTTTTATGTTATAAATAAATGGGTGTTGAAGAAAACACCACTAGACAAATGGTACACAAAATACATTAGGGACAGATGAAATGAACAATAAATAATAGAATGACTGGGAGTAAAATAGTTTTGTTATCATGGTGACGCTGCAAGTCTCAATTAGGACGTCACGATCTTGGCAAAGTTCACCTTTCGGCGCAAGTTCAAACAAGAACACAACATTTTAATCGCTAATAAGGCTCTTTGTACAAAATAACGTTTTTATTGTAAACGTTATCAATGATTTAATACAATACCCGAAGACTTTGATTGTAATGTCATTTAGAATAGTTTAGAAAAAAAGAAGACCTAAAAACAGACCCTTGGAGAAATGAATATAATTTAAATGGCTTTCAATCTTCGTCCATCACCAAATATAACTTTTCTTAACAATACTATCAATAACCTTTTCAGATTAAATATCACTCATTTTCTTAAAACGTATGTAATTATGAATTGTGTCATTTTAATTAACTTATATCTCAGAAAACCACATGAAGAAGTATTCTCTAAGAATATTATTCGGTGCATTATTCAGCATTTTAAATTCTATCTTTTGTGGTTATAAAGTAACATATACGCAAATTTCAAATAATTTCTATGAATATTGTGTTTTTACTTAGACCTAAATTAAACATGCATTATGCAAGAGCTAAATCTGCCTATTGCGGGTCTTTCTTTAGACTTTAAATGTTATCTAAATTATTAATTAGTCATAATTAACTTATCAAAACCATAATCAACTCTCGATGTCACCGTTAGCCTGCGATATTTAATGGATTTGAATACGTTTTGTGGCGGATGAAATAACCGTTAAAACGTATAGCCGAGACTTTGTTTAATATCGTAGCAACGTTAGTATTGTCGATCGTGGCTAGCCTAATTAATATCTAGGTTCAGAGTGAAGCAATTTGACTGAAATTTTCAGCATATCCTCTTTTCATTATCTATTTTTTAAAAACTATTATAACCTATAACAAATGTATAACAAATTTTCGTCTTACCTTTGGCACCATGAGTCGGTTGGATGAATGGAGATGTAAGAAAAAATAAAACTGGAACTATCATATATGATAACATGACGACAAGGGAGAGGATGCTGTTACTTCAAACTGTTCGTAAACAATAACAAGTGTAGAATTTCTAAAACCTTTTTTACGTATGCTAGACTTCACAATTAAATGTGGCATTTTCAATATCTGCAAACACGATCGGTCAATTGTTGAATTGTGTGAACTAATTGGACCATTTGGACATTCCATATCAAATGAGTCAATAACAAAAGCCTACACAATTCACAGGCTCTAGATTCTTCTGCGAAGTACACAAATTGTTTTTCCAACACGTTCCGTAAAAAGGTCACAATATGTTTGTAAAACCAGATAGTCACTTCCTGTGCTTAAAAACTTGATTTGAATAACACTGAACACTTGCACACTTTGCATAAATACCAACTAACTTCGAACTTTTTCAGGTGAACGAGTACAGATATGGTTGCGATCAAATGGCTTTTCTTTGAAAGGATTCCCTCGATATATTTTTACCATGAACAGGACTGGGATGTCTTTTCATAAAATTTAAACTCCAGTTCCAAAAAAAGCTTTAAGTTAAAATTCGACTCTCTTTATGTAGAACTAATAGTTTAAAAAAAACTTTAGTGCCTTTAACATAAACTAGAGTTATAAATTCTATTATAAAGTTATTTTTTCGAGACGGCACAAGATGTTGACCTGTTCTTGGTTCTTGAGTCACGGCATATCGAGAGAGAATTAAAACGAATTGCTCCGTAGACTTTGCCTCTATATATAGTGGGTCTCAAATCCAGCAATAACGTAGTAACCTATCCATGACGACAACAGGTTTTCGTCGACGGTCGCCTAAAATTAGTAATAAAATGACGCTCATTTCCCCGCGGGCATCTTGTCCTGTAATAATTAATCTTTTGATCCGAATCTAAATTAGGGGAGTCGGTTAGAGTCGTCGTTATTAATAGACTTTATTAAAAGATCAACTTGGAGGAAAACTTGTAATTTTTAACCTGCAGCGTTCAACTTCGCGCAAAACTGACGTAAAAATCATCCTAATTTATGAACCAGTCAGTCATTAAAAAAACGTCCTTTCTTTAATGTTTTAAGTAAACCATGCCAGCAGGCCACCCTGTTCTAGTTTATATATTTCATTGGGTTATAAAATATATTTGAACATCAAACAGCTCACCTACAAATAATCTCCTTTGAAAACTTTTCAGGATGACGTTCATTTGATTATAGAATTTTACTACAACGAATGATAGCAAGCTTGCTTCAGGTAGTCTGATATGAACTTGGTGGTCTAGGTTTTTTTGGATTAATTCTAAGAACTGATTTATCAAAGTGGGTAGATTATTAAACAACACTAAAGTGAATACCTTACTAAACACCGCTTCTTTGGCCCTCTTCCACAATTTGATACCATTCCTTTTGATTTCATATCCATCACATAACAGCACAGAGAAAAACTCACACCGGTATCCAAATCTAAGAGAATTACCAAAGTTTTCATTTTGTCTCTTTTATATGCCTTTTGGTTATAGTGCCCGAATAATCTGTCTTTTAGGAAAACCGACCGTGGCTAAGGATCCAGATTTGAGGAGGAACAGTTTCTGACGAAATGGGAAAGGAAAAAACTTCTGATTCCCAGATTAGATGAGGTTTTGGACGCTCATATAAGAAGTGACCTTGGGTTCTTAGGTCAAATGGAGCAGCGCGGTTATTAAGCAAATAATATTAATTTTTTCGTGTTAATGAATCGAAAGAAATATCAATATCTTACCTCATATACATATTATCTATATTTATTGTTGTCAATTTCCCAATGATACAATGCAGCACATGGTTCTTATTTCATATACATAGCTATATTTAATGTTGTCATATTGTTGTAACCTTTACTTGGATAATAAATAAATAAAAATAAAATTAATAAAAATAAATAAAAATAAATAAATATTAGTTTGATGGAAGAGTAAAGTATAATCAGCGGTTGCCAGGCAAGATACGCCCACATTTTTCAAGAGATGGATAGAGAATCAGCTAAAAAAAAAGCGATTTTTCGTTCAATCAGGCGCGAGTATCGAAATGGACTAAGATATTTGGGATATAAAGATATATTTTAAGTTTCATCAAAATCGGATATGAATTATGACTTCTAGAGGGTCCCCAACCTTGGTATTACATACTTTTATACTATTTGCGCACAAACTGCGACCATTTTGTCAGGCAGTTTTGGTCCGATTTTCGAACTCAACCGTCATTGGGGTGTAACGGTGATACATTTAAGCGCCTCTAGAGGGTCCACAAGCTAAAAACGTGATTTGCGTACAATCGGGGGCCATAATCCAGGAAGATACAGTCCGATATGCGCAAATATAGATAGGAACCAAGATCTTTGGATTATAATCATACATTTAAAGTTTCATCAAAATCGGATCAAAAATTGTGCCTTTTAGAGTGTACACAACCTTGGTATTACATACTTTTACACTATTTGCGTACAAGGAGCGAGCATTTTGTCCTGCAGTTTGGGCCAGATTTTTAAGAAATTTGAACTCAACCTTCATTGATGTGTAATGGTGATATATTTAAACGATTTTTAAAATTGAATACAAATTGTGATTTCTAGCGGGTCCGCGAGCTAAGAATGCGATTTTTAGAACAATCAGGGGTCATAATCCAGGAAGTTATGTTCGGATATGGGCGATTATCAAAATGAACCATGATCTTTGTGATATAAACATAAATTTAAAGTTATGCTTATATGAAAATGTGGGCGTATAAAAAGGACAGTAATAGCGCTAGATACCACGCATAACAAAAAACATAAACGGGGTCTTGGAATTAGACGGAGCATCCGACGTCAAAGAGATAATCGCCCACATTCTACCATCATGTAAAGTTGACCAATCAGCTAGTATTAATGAGATTTGTATTTTGAATAGTTGACGAATTATTTCCTTATTATGTAAACAAAGATAAACTGAATACTTATATACAACTGTGTGTCAATTGAACAATAGGTAATTGACATTATTTCGTAGTAAAATACCATAACTTACATATGATTGATGTTAAATATCATAAAAAAAATATATGTATACAAGTCATATATCACCATTTATCACGGTCATTGACATCTTAATATTTAAACTGGCGGGGTTACATATCGCCCAATACCCCATTGTAGTGTATGAAATTAAATGAAATGAAATGGGGTTTAACGTCCTACTGTTCTGCTCCGAACTGGGCTAATGAAGACGGGCATACGCCATACAGTGTGCTATGAGGGAAATTTTGCCCGGACAGCGGCACTACGGCCTACTCTTATATCGAATTACAACTGTCAAGGGATCTTTTACGTGCACGCCAATGTGGTCACGGGACCGCGGTTTTTCGTCCCATCCGAACGACTAGCAGATGTCCTTGTCAGACCCTCCGTCCTGCATCATTGAAAAGGGGGAACCACGCCGGAAAATCTGGATGAACTTTCTCGGCAAACGGAGGGATCGAACACCCGACCTCCAGGCTAGCGAGGCAGCGCCTTACCCACTTAGCCACCGTGACCCCCTGGTAGTGTATGGGTGACCCCCCCCCCCCCCCCCAAAAAAAAAAATCAGCTACATAAACGTCTGGAATCTTATAGATCATTCAGGATTTTAATTATAGCCAGCTTTATTATTATGTAATTCACCGCAAAGTGGGTGCTTGTCATGGCCCAACGCTACTGTCTCCTAAAGGAAATGACCCATTGGGCTCGGGCTACTCTCGAAGTATTCCAAAAATGTGGCGTCTTTCAGGTGTGGCAGGTCAAATGTGTATATTACGTTTGGGGTCCTTTCGCGAAATCCATTATATTGTGATCGATGTACTCAATAAATACGTCAAAATGATGACCCCCAACAAAAGATGTTTCAGGAATTTGGACGTTTGGAAAATAAATCAGTCAAAACTGTTTCGGTTAAAGGACCTCAAATGCCTTGATTTGATTTTATTAAGTACTGAATTCGATTGACGTAATGTGTTATTCTGATTAGTGATCGGACAACCTCTGTGTCATTACATCTTTGTTTTAAAAGATTAAAGGGAATTCGGCTTGTTTACAAATTTTATTTTAACATCCCACAATACAAATCAACGTAAATCCACAATTTTATTTTTGACCCAAATCAAATAGACTAACTGGTGAACTTTATTGTATTTTTACCCCAATTTATGGTTTTCAACAAGAAAATAAATGTAAGTAATTCCATGTGATAGTCAAAATAAACCAATATACGACCAAATATCTAAATTCATAGAACTGGAATACTTGCCCCAACTTGCGTCAAATCATTATTCACTGGCTTGCAGTAATCTGTTGAAAACCAATATAGACTGGGTCTGCAATGTATACGACTTAATTGTGGAATTGATGTGCCAAGCTTATATACACATAAACTAAAAATCTGCATTCAATCTTTAAAATGATGGTAAGCCACTGTGGCTCAGCGAGTAAGTCATTGCTCCAGTCGGAGCAGGACAGGACGTTAAACCCAATTTCATTTAATTTATTTATTAAAATGATAATCACTACATGATATGTGTCGGCCATTATTTAAAATGTTACACATAGAATATATTAACTCATAATATTGCCGTTTGTAATCACTATCCAGAGCACCGTGTAGTGCTTTATTTCTGAATGTAGATATGATTTTTAGTAGTTGTGTCATTTCATAACGACAACATTTCATGTGGGTGTATATTGTCGTCACAACTGTCTGTCCACAATTCTTGCAAACGCTCTCTACACGTCGAGTTTTTTAAGAATTTGTTTTCAAAGTGTTGTGATTGTTCGATTAGACCCAAGAAGGGCCACTGCAAATACCGTATTGTGTAACAATTATTTTGCAGAGCTACTGCCTATGTACTTGTAAGCGCTCTATAGGTCAGATTTTTTTAAAATTCAGACTTTCTACAAATGTCCAGTTGAACCCTGTCAAAATCACAGGCACACAAGGATTTTATACACGTCATTATTAATTGCGACAAAATAGGTAGCAGTATGAAAAGACAAAAACAATGAAAAACTGATTGAAAGTTCTTAATTAATGTTTAAATTAAATATTTTAAATTGGCATCTAAC